AGGATAGAGTGAGAGTTAATTCGATTCTGATAAATATTTTGCTTGCTGTATTGTGCTCGATACATTATGCTGTTCCGTGACAAATTTGTAGCACTGAAATAAACAGCAGAACCAATTAAGATACAGCGTTTCCAATTGTGATGTGTAGATGTCAGTATAAAGACATATCAAAGAAAGTAGTATGCGGCTGACGTTGATGGTAAACCATTTCACAGTATTTTATTTACAGCCTGTTTCCATAACTTTTTTCTACCCTAAAACGAACACCTAATATCTATATATTTTAGCGAATTTATTCTTCAAACGAAGTACGGTATTTAATAGAGTACCCAATTTGTAAAAATAAGCATTCCCTGAACATAAGCCAGCTGTCTGAAAAATCTTATGAACATTTTATGAAGTTTTTGAAATCTATATACTGTCCCCAAAGATAATTAACTGTGACATTTAGAATTCCAATACGATAGGAGGTTAAGCTTTGTTCGTTTTAACAGTGATTTATTATTAATATTCCCATACAATATGGTTTAATGTATTTAGTGTGAGCTCAAATTAGTTTTGTCGGTGAGTATGATTTGGAGGATGCATCAGTCACTAAAGAGGATTTGGAGATGCGGTTCAGGGTTGCCCACGTTGTTCGCTCAAACTAAACTGAATAAGGTCGCAAAATAGAAGGGGAAAAGCGTAGACGAGGTGGGAAAGAGGAGAAGACAATCAAATAGTGATATAAGAATGAAGACTTTTTATATTGAGCAGTGAAAACGTATAGCTGATTAATTCAATAGTAACTTAAGATTATCGGAGTGTACTACATTTTCAGAAACTCTCGAAGTATAGTATACTTCGCTGTACGCGAGAGAATAGCGGTGGAGTTTCATACAAATGAATAGTGGATTCACGTAAGAAATTCGCTTCTAACTGTTGCCATCATCCTTTCGTGGCGTTATAGACCCTCCGAATTGTAGAGATCGCGATGTCTCGCCGGATGCGAATGTCGGTTACGACTAGTTGAGTGAGGACGGCGCGTTTCAGACCAGATTGGAGATGATGATTTTTGTAGTGCCACTTCCAGATGCAATTTTTTTAGGTATTGTATTATATATGTTGTAAAATAGTATACTTTGTCAATGAAAACAGAGATCAAATCAAATCAACAGGGACAATCAAATAAATCCGAAAGCAGTAATAAATTTGAAGTATTTTCCGAAAATAATATCTACATTTTCACTGTGATTATATTTTCTATTGTGTTGCTCGTAACTTGAAACCTACATTCTTTGATTCAATAAATGTATTTTTTCAGTAATTTAATGTATAGTTATAGTGATGTTTTGGTTTGTAAGACAATTGGCTTTAAAGGATTTTCCGAAGTGCGTAATATAGAGTATTGACTGTTGCGGAGGGTTGAGTGACCAACGAATGAAACGTTTCTTTGTAAAGTGTGTGTTACATGCAAGTTACTCAGTGCCAATGTACTCAACAATATGAATTCAATAGCTTTGTTCCCAAGGTCGCTAATTTTTTCCCAATATTTGAAATGTCAATTAAGGTTGCTTTGAAGATATAGGTCGAGCCTCATTTTACCGTTTTTGTCTTCTCAAGGTCAATTTTCCATGGACGTTAGTGCGCGGTGATTCTCGAATTCTTTCAATATCATTTTCAGGCATTTTATTTCATTTCTCTTCAATTTAATTTGAATTTATAAGTGAGAAAATCCGAGAGAATATAGTTATTCTCAGTAAGTAAAAGGTATTAACGTACTCAAGTTTGGAGGAATTTCTTGTTTCTACGGAATATGTTCCCTGAATTAAAATGTTAAGAAAATCATCTTTTTACAGTTTGAATTGAGGATACATATTATTTTATAAGATTAATTTTTCAATTAATTTTCTGTATTACACTTGACCGTAATAATTGTAATAGGTAATTTCTTGAACTGAAATTTAATAAATATAGATCTCGAATATTATATGTTATGTAGTTAGGCATCAAACGTAACGTAATCCTTGTAGCGTCCGAATCTTATTGAAGTTTTGCCAACAAAAATGCTGTAATTGTAGGCTTTTCATCAATGCAAGAAATTGTTTAGGGCCCTGTTTGCAACATAATTTAGGAAGGAAGTCAGTGTGTCAACAAGTGAGAAGGTATGGTTCAGTTTCCTCGTGGCTGTAGTGAAATGCTGTTCGCGATGCTCTTTGGAGAAGTTTTTATGACAACACACTGGAAGTTAGCGTCTAGCCAACTTCTGAATATGCAGTTATGTAAAAGTAATAATAGCAGTGCCCCGAAAGTTAGCTTCTAGCTTCTCTTTGAATATGCAATTATGTAAAAGTAATAATTCATATGCCTTGCATCAACTTACAAAAACGTTGCGTGAAATAGATAACAGCAATAGTATATACTAAAAGGAATCATTATCATAGCTGTGGATAAATATCTCCTCCTCCAACATTTCCTATTGTTTTTTACACGTTGAAGACAAACAGAAATAATATAAACAAATTCGATTTGTTCTTTTCAAGAAATGTTTTTTCAAGTACTTCAAAGGCTCGATTTGAAGATGTGCTTTTCTTGGGGTTCTAGTACTTCGGCAGTGACTGCAAAGTTGAGAGGCGTGACGAAGTTTGTATTTAAAAAAGTTACTAATTCTCTTGATTAGAACACGGAGTTATCAACACCATGGGACAATCTGTTAAACAGATGATAAAAATCAAAATTTTCTGGAATACTGATAGGTGTAGGACAGTCTGAAATTGAATCAACCGAAAGTTATGAAAGGAACACAACTTTCAATCACATTTTTGGCATATTGCGAAGTAGAGTCGCACAAATCGCATTATATTATCGATCGTTCTCTCCGGCTTGTTTTCGCTGTCTTGGAGAGCGAGCCAGTTTATTCTCTTTGAGCTTTCGTTCTGAGCGGTACCGATAGCTTTGATACTGTGAGTAGAATTGTGAAATATACTCACAGGATCAAAACAGTGTTGGATGTGACGCCGAGCAGTGCAGACGTGCTGAGGTCGAGCCCTGCCGCCGTTATCAGTGCCAGTTGTGTCAATGTTGTGTTTCCGAGTGTAGTAGAAGCGAAACTACAATCATGTGGGTTGTAAGTGGGGAGTGCGTGCTGGGAGGTGGACAACTTATTTCTGAGAGTCGTCAGTATTTACCGGAATGCAAAGTAAACTGTCAACCCTTTGTATTGATAGGATGAGTGAACCTTGGGTCTCCCAAGATAAAACCCCCTCCATCGTTTTCCGAGGCCATCTCGTCGGTGCTTTTAACCGCTCTCCATTGCGTTACTGTAAACTGCAATTACTTAAACTTAAATATGGTTCAAAATACTAATTCTCATCCTGACGCAACCGCATCTCCAGAAACTACGAAAATATTAAAAAAATGAATTTAGTATTAAAATTAAAAACGACTATGTCTTTATATTCCTCCGAACAACAGAAGACTACAGATAATACAGAAAACATTGTGACGTAAATAGCATTCATTACTTTATTTATGGCATACAAACTTCGTATAGTAACGAAGAAATTAAGTTAGAAGAAGATCAAATATTCTCAGAAAATACCGTTTACAGACTTTGGGGGGGGGGAGAAAAGCGAAGCCTTGTAAATGTGTGCTGTGGAACTCACTGACCGTCACTTGTGAGAAGCTTGATAATTTTTGTTACAGTAGAGACTATTTTATACAGAATTTGGGTAAATTGTAATAAAAAAGACCATTAAAAGACCATGCATTTCCACGCTAGTGTAGTTTCTGTTGCACAACTATGCAGAAGTTTGCAGCATGTCTTGTGCGATCGAATTTTAATTCAATTTTCGACGTAGATAGTGTCGTACTATTATCGGTTCGCGCTAAGAAAAAAACTTGATGTAAAAAAATACACGTATTTTTTTATGATTCTCACTCGCACAGTATGCACTCTGCTATTGTAGCGAGCTAAAGAAAAATGGTTCTGAGAAAGAACTAATGTATCTACCATCGTTATCTTTCGTGATATTCAATTCGTTTTAGAATGTCTGAGAGTGTAGCTGGCCTATCAGTAATTAAACAAAATAGTGGAAAATTCGTAGCTGCATAGGAATCCGTCGTTACCGGTGAAGCAAATCGCGGAACTTGCGGCAGAGTTCGCTGAAATATCCGTTTCCAGCGTATTGAAATTCAGGAAAGAGATGACCGGACGACCACCAGAGAAGAAAAGAAAGCGGAAGAAACCTGTAACTGAAGCTTACAACGACTTTATCGTCAGTGGTGTTCGACCAAAAGTGCACTTCTTTTTCTTCAGAAACGAACCACCGACACTTGCAAAATTGTTGCAGCTTGTGAACAGTGTTCCGCATTTTACGCGAACCAATTTGTACGAATTATTGATATCATATTTTGTGTTTCAAAGAAGACGGAGAAGAAATCGTATTCAGAACTGACACCATTTTCCTTCCTGAAGCAGACTGGTCGTAAGTAAAGTAGTTACCTAAGCATGACATTTGCATGACAGCTGTTATTTAATTTGAATTGGCGGGGTATGCTGCTCGCGTAATCGAAAGTATTGCGCTAAGAGTTGTCCAATCAGAAGCATAGTGTGGCGAAAATTTATCTTCGGTTTGTTTATATCAGATTTTTTCTTAGGGTGAACGGATAATAGTTCATTAAATGCAATAAATAATGCGTTTTGAGATGTTCAATAGAAAGACCTGACCGAAAAACGGCGTCGAGAGATCCGGTGACGCCGCTAGTATTCATTATCGTATTCATTGCTTTTTCTTTAAACAAACTAAGAGTGCGCACCTCAATAACAGGTCTAGTGTCAGTATCGTTCGTTTCCGATATAGTCAGTGTCGTAACTAGTGATCTCGGCGCGTTGGTCTGTCTTTGTCTTCTTTTCTCGTGAGAAACTTTTCACTACCCGGTTGATCTATAGTCGTGCACTTTTTCGTAATAATGCATCCTCCTGGATGCGTCGCTTGTTCAGAAACTTCGATGTTCCGCAGATGTCTGAAGACGCCATCCTGCGCAGACTTGTAATCCTGTGAGCCAAGAAATCAGTGAGCGACTAGAGTTTGGATGTCCTTTCATGTCGATTTCCGAGATGTTGAGGTGAAAGTTTTATCCGGGCTAAGTATATATACTTTAGTCATATAATAATGGCAGTAAAACGACGAAAATATACTACCATTATATTCATTCTAATTGAACGTAAAGGTAGTGTACCCCATTAAAAGTATATTCTCTTACATCAAAAATCATATTCGTATAATTGTTTTTAATGATTAAGATTAACTCCAATAAAAATAGTGTGAAATGATCCTATCCACTCGTCTTGAATTTGTAACCTACGACATAACGCTCATGCTGTGAAAGATACAAAAATGTCATCTGATGCACATAATAATATTGTATAAATCCGTAATCTTGCTAATCACATTAACGAATATTTCTAAATTTTCAGGCAACTGACAGGAACTTCTGTACTTACATTATGGCGCCACTCGACTTTGTAGACTCCAGGTTGCGCTTTGATGAGACAGTCGAAGTAGACGTCCGTGCCTTCGCGAATGGCGTCTGGGTTCAACGAAGTGCCCAGCTGCAATCTAGCCTCTGGTACGTCTGCAACAAACCCAACATTGCTTCATTAAAAAGTGAAATCAAGACGTAAATATAAAAATTGACATATTATTCATTGAAGTTCAGAAATACTAAGAATGCTGTGCTTCCCACTCGGTTCATATTTTGTTTTTGGAGGAAGATAATATGACATTATGAAGTACTATTGCCCAATGGAATTGCAATGGCAAATTCGTACTATTGTCTAATGTTGTTTTCAAATTGTATTAATTGAAATAAAGTGTTTCTAAGTCGAATGTTGCTGTAAAATCGCACAGACGTTCGTATTATTTGTAACGATTGCATAACATCGAAATATTTTACAGCTATTATACTATTGATATTTCAGCAATTCTCGCAAAACTCTCTTCATCCGAGTGCTAAAAAGACATTTGTACCCGTTTCTTAGAATTGTTTAAGACATTCTTCATTAAGAAAATGCATCTTATTGCAAATTTTATGGGCCACAATCCATTTACCAATGCTAAAGATTTCGCGTTTCAGTGTCGTTTTCCTTTAAAAACATTCACAATTTCAAAATCTTAATATACGCAAAACTATTTATAGACATTTCAGTAAATGCAATGCTTTACTGTCCGTTATAGTAACATACAATCTTATATCCAAACATGTAGCTTTCTCCGTGCACGTGGTTTTTTCCGTGCATTGTCTTTAAATCAATGTAACATTAACGTGAATGCTCTAGAAATTGTGCCAGTTATGTTGCATAATTGTGTATTGTGCTATATTCATTTCAATGCTCAAATATGAAAAATCAAGCTTGAAAAACCATTCTTAAGCTGGTTTGGATAATTGACAGTATTACATATAAAATTTCTTGCTTAACTAGCTGTGCTAAAACAGCACGTACTTTCTCGACCGTATTTTCACGCGAAATCACGCTAAAAGTACTTAAATTTTCTAAAAATTGTACATAACCTTATTTAAAAAACCTATTTAAAGAACAGATTTCCTTAAGTGAAAAATCTCTATTTTCTATATTTTAATTGTAGGAAGACTCCGCAAAACCTTTGAACTTTTGCAATTTTCGAAAATCAAGGTTTTCTCCCAACCATTCTCTTAAACATCCTTCACTATCCGAAAACAAAATTGAAAACGTGATGAAGTAATTTTTTAAATTTTGGAGATATCCCGGGGGGCTTCATATAAAGTACCTCCTAAAATTCCCACAAAATATGGATTCTGGCTACATCTGGTGTTAGAGAATTTTTTTCTAAATTTAGCAATTCGATTTATCCATCTTTTCGTTACAAGGCCCTATAATAAAAGTTTGTTCTGCCGAAAATTTGCAGTTTTTTTGCGTAGTATTACAGAACGTTCTCTCTACTCCGTAGCGAGAAAGTAAAAATACTGATATTTTGAAAAACGTTGTACATCATACAACGTCCTAATACTGAAGAATAGGTTGCTTCAAAGATAAAAAAGTCTAGCTTATGTAGAAAAGGTGCATGAGAGTGTCGTAAAATATTTTGTTTGTAATTTTCGAAAATACAAATGTAATGGATACAGGTGTTTGGTAGTTTTCATTAGCTCATATTATTTTAACAAGGAGTATAAAGAAATTGGGGACGTTTTGAGGTTTTGAATTTAGGTGTGAGCGTCAAATTAAACACCACTTAAAAGTATAGGTTCCGTTAGGTATTAATTAGTATTACTTAACGAATTTATTAGGTATTTATAAAAAGTTCCTTCGGCCAAGTTTTCCAGGTGTGTTCAAATCTGCTAAAATCTCTTTTCAATATTTGGGTACACTTACATTTGCTAACTACCTTTTTTCTGAGGACGTATACTTCAACCGCAGAAGTGATGTCTGTTGATAATTTTAAGTGTTCTATCTTTTCAAACCTCAATTTTTTGTTCCTCGTACAGAGATACATTTATAATGATAGTATATCTTGCATAAAAAATTATGTACTAATTAGTTCATGACTTTTTTTATCATAAACTAGCTGTGACCGGATCAACTGACTGCTCCCACATTATTTTGTTTTATAGTGAATATTAGAAAATAATTTAATATCTGTAACACTAACTTTAAGGCTTTTTGTTTCAAAATTTCTTTTCATATCAGTAAAGATTTCTCAAACTGAGCTCAGTGCTTCTGTAAGGGACCGCGAAAAGTTTTTAATGAGATCCTGAAGAGGTCATCAGGTCAAAATTGTTGCTAGTTGCTATTCTTGTCACTGGTTATCACGTTGCACGAAGGAATCGAATTTAGTTCGTGCAATATTTGCAATGGACGTTAAGGTGCACTGCGTTCTCGGAAACCAACAGCCTTCGAACCGAAAGTAGGTCCACTGTGTTCGCAGAAAAAGTACCTAGTACGTGCGCACAGCCCGCCCATTCCTCTGCCACTGGAGCAGCTTTCTTCGTAATAAATCAATGTGTTTGGTTTATTTTGCTAATTGAAAGTAAAGCAGTGAGCGTCGCGGCCAGAGGTGTTTAATTCTTCTGCCTCCATAGATCTGAAGTTCTGAAGTGTGCAATTGCCTGGGCGCGTGCGCGGCTCCGACTTCTTGCACACTCGTTCAAAAGCGATTGCCGTCTCTTCTCACCCCTATTCTAACTCGCGAGAGCGAATTATGTGCTGTGTAAACTACCGAATTGTATCGCCAGAGGTCGTTCCAATAACCCCACATTTTATAACGACCATGTAGATTTTTAAATGTTTTATTGCTTATGGAAACGTTCTATTCGAAAAATTCTTTTGACATCGTATCCTGAAACCGTAAGTAATACACGTAGTGTTAAAAAATAGTTTGTATGTTGATTCAGTTGCTCAAACGTTACGCTACATTGTCGGAGACGCAGGAGGGGGAAATTGTTATAGATTTATTTATATACTACTCGTATTTAAAAGACGCTTTATGCTCTTCTGCTTACGTTCGAATGCTTTCTCTTCGCTTATGTTTATGTTTATTCTATATTTCAACAGTGCTATGAATCATTTAAACCACATTACGATAAAAACGCAATTTTCTGTCTCTTATCATGCATTCACCGAGCTGCCTGCGGCAACTTCGTTCTCAAATTACCTGGCTGATGCTCTGCACAATTAATTTCAAGAAACCGTGCCCGCTGGGGGCGAAGGTAAGAATAAAGTTGCCAAGCGTGCAAAACCGTACCCGTGCTTGGTGTATGTAACATATCAACCACCAGTCAAGTACTTGTGCCTGTCTACAAATTGGAGGTGTGTAAAGGTTATGAAATAAACTTCATAATATGGCTAGGAATATTAATAAAAAGCCGTTCTGATATTGTACTTTTAATACATGTTTCAGAACATTTTTAAAAAACATATTTTGTTGAATGATCATGTATTTGTTCATAAGTCCCACATCTTCTCAGAACTTCTTTTTTTCGGTCTCAGATTCTTAGGTGCCTCAAATATATTTCATTATTGCGTGGTGGTTATTGTCACTTCAAAATATTCAAGACTGATTGGCTGCCAAACTGGTAGCTGAAGTTGACTGACTTGCTGATTGACGTATTGTAGGCACCGCGTTGCTATAGCTCTGCTATCGATGTTTCATCTGTTTCAAAATCTAAATTTATCAGTGTGATGTATTATGTAGATCCATTGTTTTTCGCTATCCAGGATATTCATATCCGGTGACATCATTCGGAAATCGAAGTTCCTCCACCGTCCATCCAAATATTGTTTGCTTTTCACGGGCGGTGGAAATAACACTCAGTTTAAACGAGAACATTGCGTTTTACCTACGCTGTAGCGTATTTCACTATGTTACTAGTGTTTACTTAGAAGTTACATTTTTATGTTGACTCAAGGTAAAATTGCATGTATCTTCTAAGAATTTAGTTTTCTGCTTATGCCACGATATTTCTGTGGATCTGATGGGTACACGCGATGCGGGAAGATTTCGGTTTTAGTAGAAACAAATTGATGAATTTGTATATTTTGGTTTTAATAAAGAAATTTGGACATATATTTGTGCACGTTTGCTTATTGAATAAGATGATGATTTCATGACAAGCTGTTATTTATTACAGAATTAGAAAGTAAATAAATAATTATGATTATGTAGTAGACTTTCTCTAATAACAAGTAAATTTCGTGTTATAATACAAAAAAAGGGTCAATGACAGTACTCTGACTTAAATGTAATTTCATTCAAAATTTCTCTCTTAACTGAGCACTCGGGTGAAACGAAAACCTTTGAACTTTCATTGCGGTTCCATAAAATAATCAATGTATAAGGTTTAATATGTACACTATTCTTACAATTTATTGGTTCAATTATTTTAAGAATTCCTAATAATTGCGGTAGCTGATATGCAAATTCATAGAATCTTCTATATGCAGTTTATAGAATTTCTCCACTATATTCCAGTTTCTCACAGTTCAATAAGAGCTGAAAATTCTATCGAGTTTCGAAAGCCGACTGTTATTTCGCGAGAATCTCACGACGGGATCACAATTTGTATCAAATGTTCCATAACTTTTCTTGTTATACACTAGTAGATTTTCATTTGCGAAACAAATCCTGAAGGATGTCAGAATATATGTGATTACTATGTGTAATATTTGTGGAGCGAGTTGTTAATCATTTTGTAAATCAAACGCGTCATTTCTCATGTTTTATTTTTCATTCCAAATATGCACATAACGCATGGTCTGAATGTCAAACAATCAAAGTAAATTTGTTACAAATGAAAATAAAATAAAGCATTAAAAATGTATTTGCGCATACGCATTGTATTTGTGCATTACATTGCGCATGCTCGATCGCCCGTGCCGGGTAGTTTCTTTATCCGCCTCTACTGCCACTGCCCGCAGCATCAGCACCCTCACCCCCTCCCCACCTTCCTACTTCTTCGGCTGCCTCTAGATTTAGTCTATCCCGGCCTCGGCCCCCTTCCCGTCGTATTCGCCCGCCGTCACCGTCATTACCGTCGCCGTCGTAGTCGCCATCGTCGTCGTCACCGTCGTCGTCACCGTCGTCGTCGTCACCGCCGTCGTCACGGTCACCGTCGTCGCAGTCACCATCGTCGCCGTTATCGTCGTCGTTG